TTATTATTACTTTCGTGATTATGATTATTATCACTGAGATCATTGTTGTTATTATTCGTCTCCTTCGTTTTTCGTTCGACCAATTGTAGTAGAATTTTAATGAAGGTTTATTGCCACATTCCTTAATAGGGACAGACAAATTTATCCGTGAAAATCAGAGGATATTGGTAGAGTGCGAAACGGAAGAAGCCCAAGAACCCGCTTGCAACAAAGACACTGGTGAGATCCAGAAAAGTATGCGCAAATGGTCACGTGGTCTACTCCATTACGTCAGAGGAGGTGGTTTCATTGAAAAGTGGTGCCCCCTTTATGTGTAAGAATAAGAGAGACATAAGAGATTTAATGCTGATATACCTTAATTAGGTGTTGTAAATGGCAGCCTGCAATCACTGGGGGTATTGCCAACCGCTTTCGTTATATCCTCGGCAAAGGAAAAGGTAAATGAAATGTTCAGTGGACAAAATACTAGGCACCACAGCCAGTTTAAAGCCAACACTAATGAATTTTTGAAGAGGGAAAACAAATGAAAATGAATTGTACATGACCATCTTCCTGGAGTTTAGAAAATACTGATTCAGTCCTATTCTACGGAAAAGCGCATAGTCATCAACCGAAAAACAAAAATACATTTTTGACATGAAAGCAATATGCAAACCGTTACTTTTTAGTAGTAAACTTTCAATGGTAATTAAACGAGTCCAAAGTTAGTGACCTGTATTTCAAATGCTTTTCTTTAACAGTGTGTTCCAGTAAGCCCCTTTACTGTATAAATAAATGTAATGGCAACATTGTGATGACCAAAAAACTTTGCCTTTCTATATTTATTCCTTCACAGATCCGAGGGACCAGGTCAAGTCTTTCTGATTACGATTCAGTACCTTTTGCAACGGTTAAAGGACATGCCCGAAGAACAGTGGGAAGATTTCATATTAAGTTATGATAACATGTGTAACTTAGATAAATTGCGTGTTGCTAAAAAACCGCTCCCTCTTCCCGAGCCTTATGACAAGATTTGGCTGAAGGTTAGAAAGATCGTCGACCGACTGCACATGCGAAATCATAAAAATCCAGAATGCCGTGTGAAGTATGGAAGTGACGACCTGAAGGAGAAATTTCCCTCTCTAAACACACCCGTCACAGAACAGGTTTTCGTTTGGGCTTCTCGCTTTAAGCGAATCATGTGCGCCATGCCGAAACGGCGATCCTTGTTTTTTTATCACAGAATGGTAATTCGACGAAACAATTACGTAACGAACTGCTACAAAGAGAAAAGGGTACCCGAATTTCCATCGATCCATTGAGCAATATGACCACTACCCAGTTTGTGTTTACCACTGACGATAGTAAAGTACCAGTAAAACGCGCTTATTATTCTTGTTGTAACAAATATAAGCGTAACAAAGGCTCCGTTTTTTCATCAAAGCAATTGCCTTTAAAAATAGTACCCATTCTTAGCTCTTTCCACACTATCGCCAGCTGCATTTGAAACTTTTCTAAAATTGGGTACGTATTCAGAACTGATAAAATGCCACGGGCGGGTATATTCCAAACATTTTATGTCGTTTTATGGATTTTTCTTTTTACTTTTGAATTATAAAGGGCATTTGGCGAGGAAAACAAGTTTCACTGCCTGGTTGTCCTTTAGAGTCTCCCTTTAGCTACCAAAGCAAACAAGTTGTAGATTCTTCCTTTCTAACTACTTCTTACTACTAGAACGTTAGGATGGGCAGCTGAGGTGAAGTTTTTTTGGTTTTACAACCCTCTTAGAAAGTCAAAACAGTGATAAAAAAATGCTGGTAATGGGTACAGGGGCATTTCAGTTCTCAATTAAAAATAAATTATAAAATTCAGGGCAGAAATTCTTTGCTGAGGTTATTGTTGATGTATTTTTTTTCTATGCCTTTTACAAATTAGGTATCTTTTCCACCTCCAGTCCTCTATTTCAGTCATGTATAGATGGATGCTTCCTTATCTTTTGGAAACGAACTAATGACAATATCTTGTTGATGTAAAATATTGATAAGGTTAAACCTCATTCACCTTAATAGACATGAGAAAGTTTTATAAATATTCTCCGTACAACTGTCAAAATGTAAAACAGGACTCACCGGTGGTGGACTCAATGATATACAAAATACAAGGGGAAACAAAGAGCACATGAATATACTGAAAAACAGTCATTATTTGAAATATCACAGGTATCCCAAGCACCGTGATAAATATCCTTGTTGCGGAAAAATTGTTATAAGAGTTTGTATGAAGATTTCAGCAATCGTTATTTAGGGGTAAAAATAGCAATAAAGATACATCAGAATTTCTTAACATGTGTTTTTGACTAAATTATGGTATTTTCTCAGCATTTCATTTACATGAACTACAGGGTTAAGAACTACATGAAAGAAGACCAAGGTTTTTCACTGGCGAATAGAAGTCCTGGAAAAAATTCAGGCGGCTTGTACGGGATTCGAACCCTTTTGTACCGTTGTACTTATGTCCTGCCTTGTGAATATGTCCTCTGACGTAATGTGATATGCAAGCCAATCAGGTCATGCGATCTATCGTGGTAGTCGCGGCATAGGACTGGAAAAGAATCTCCGTCGCAGTTTGGTCTTCGAGCAAAATTTTTATTTCTAGCGGGTCGGGGACGGTAGTAAAATTTGTTTTGCAAGGTTAAGTAAACATGGCGGCCGAAAGGCTGAGGAGGAGAGCATATTTAATGCTGTTTTGGCATTGTAAAATAAGAACTTCGAAAAAAAGAAGACCAGCTGTGCGTCGTTAAAGTTAAATTTCACGTTTTTACATGTTATGAAAATATGAAGAGCGCACTGAGCAGTTTTTCTCCGGCTCTCATTTACGTATCGATCAGCTTAATTTTAGCCAATATTCAGTTAAGATAGCTGAAACTTGTCGGAGAGGACAAGGCAAATCGCTTTGTTTAAAATCTTTTTACCATCTACGTCCCTATACAGATCATAATCAACTCTGCATCCTATGTGAACTCGAATAAAACGCGAACGCTTACGAAAATATGTCTATGACTGATCGTTTCCGTTTCTGATTACATGCAAATCAAGCGTTCATAGACCGATCTTTTAAGCATCTTTTAAGCATGAAACGGTTGTAAAATCACTAGTTTTTCTAGAAAGGTGTCTGTGACTTTCAGTGATTGATTGCTAGGACACAGATTGAGTTATCGCAAAATGTGACTCCTTTCTTAAAGTCCACAGTTTGCGAAAACTCAACTCCTGGCCTGAAGAGCGAAGCCTGTATAAAGTCCACGATTTGGGAACCACATTTCGCGCTGTCGCAAAATACGGAATTTATTCAGGGGCACCCAACGAACGTTTTTTGTAAAATATCTGTTCGGAGAAGCAAATATTGCCTAGAATTTTCTATCACTTGGGGACGACTAAAAATTTCTAGATGATCGTTCCGTTTATGTAAAATTTTCGACGCCTATCTAACAAATTCCGTACGATTTTCTGAAGTTTAATTTTTCCCATTTTACTGCCCAGGTTAGGCTATTTTTCTTACGAAAATGGAAACCTAAAATTTTCGGATTCGAAAATGTGATGGAGAGAGGAATCAGGAAAATTCTCACCTTCCTAATACGTTAAATTGCATCTAAAATTTTCGGGAAAATAATACTGAAGCCCTTGAAGATCTAAAAGTTCTCTGGGTAGCCTAAAAAGTGTTTTCAATGTATTTAAGCTTATTTAGGAGGACACAGTCGTTGGGTGCCCCTGGTTATTGGAAGAACATGGAATGTTTTATCTCAAAATGTGACTCTTTAAGTTCGCCATGTTTTGCGATATTTTTTTGGGCGCAAACCTTGGTACACAGATTGAGTTAACGCAAAATACGTCACAATTGTCAGACCACATAATGCGTTAGCGTAAACGGTGACGAAAAAACGGATTTGCTTAAGTTTGCTAGTTGAGCAAATCTATTGTATGTTCTTGGTGCAAATTTTGTTCAAAAGTGAAAGTTTACTTTTCTGCAAGGGTGGCGTAAATGTGGAGTAAATATCACGTTTACACAGATTTTGTTTCACTTTCGCTCCTAATAGTAAATTTGGTGTTAAGATTCAAGTTTGCCGCCATTTTGTTCTCTGTGTAAAAATCATACGTCAAAAATGAATGTTTGCTTGATATTTTCTGGCATAGCAAAGTTACAGTGTAAATGTATGGTTACTAGAGGCGTAAATTTAAGCAAAATATGATCAAAGAACTATTTTTACGACCACTTTAACCAACGTTTGCACATTCACCAAACTTGTTGTTTCACGCAAGTTTTGAATTTCCATTGCCTCGTTTCAATCACCATCACAGTCTTCTCAAAGTTTATAGACCTTTATAATATTATTTGCTGCAGCTGGTTATTTCAGGTAAGGCCACCTCCCGCTTTTTTTTTCGTTTAGCGTCGAATGCGTTCGGTCGGTCAGATTGAAAAAAAAAAACTGAAAAAAAATATCACAAGATGTCTCGGAATAGGACGCCCAGGTAGCCCAGGATGACGTTAAAAGTTAACATTAACAAAATGCACAATGTGAAAGGTTTGAACCCAGGAGTCATTTCAATGGTTGGTTGCAGAGTTTGATCGTCCGGGTGAATGTGGCCCTGAATCGCAAGATTAGCCGCCATGTTTGTTGTTTCCAAGGCTTCCACGTGACTTTGGCACATGCGCGATTTGATTTACGTTGTCACGTGCGGCTTTTGAACCAATAGAAGTGTAAAATGAACTTCCGTTGAATAGTTCAAATTCACGCGGACTTCACAAGCAGCACAGCGTCGCAAACAGAGTATTTTTGTTATTTTCGGATAATAGAAAGCCTGTCTTTCTATTAATTCCCATGTTATTTTCGAGAGAAAGTGATCCGTTGCGAAGTTCTTCACGTAAAGCATGTTTCCAAGTCATCAACTCAGCTGGCCGGATTGCAGAAAGGTATGTTCTTCTCGATCGTGGTTCGTTTACTTACTTTGGTTTTCTAATAACTTTGTGTAAGCTTAAAACTTCAGAGATAAATCTTAAAATTTAAGATGCGTGCACAGATATGCCATTGATTGATTCCTTTTTGTTTACTGCAGAAATAACTGTACATCTTTGTTGCGCATCGTCTTCATTAGTATAGGTAATAGCATGATTTGTAGTGATATTTGGCATAAATACCACGAGTGATATTTCGAAATTGTTATACGTAATTTCACGGGCCGTTAGGCGAGTGAAATTTGAGACAATTTTGAAATATCACGAGTGGTATTTATGCCAAATATCACGTACAAATCATGCTATTATTTGTTTATACTACTACCCGCAAAAGGTTTGTAATTTTCACATGTAGGTATTTCAAATTACTGCGCTTTTCACAAACATGCGAACTCTAAAGTTCAAAAGCCGCCTTCACAATTGCGTTTTTCGCTGCCGTCAATCAGAATTACGATCACAAGCAACGAACCTTGAAACACAGAAACACACAAAACGGATCGAAATCCAGCAATCACAAATCACAAACCTTGACCTTTTGAACCCGTTAAAGTAAAGTTTTGTTTCCTAAGAGGTCTCTTAAGATGATTGACGGCAGCGAAAAACGCAATCGTCAGTTGGCTTTTGAACTTCAGAATTCGCATGTTTGTGAAAAGTGCAGTAAGCTGAAATACCACTGCTCTTAAAGCCAATCAAATTGCAGTAATTTCTCATGTAGTGGTATAAATGGAATAATCTTAAGTAGCCAGATCTTGAGCTGTGCAGGCAAACATTTACACCAATGTAAGTCGGTGATGTGACCTTTGCATGTCCATAATTCAGTAGTTTGGCTTGTTGTACAGTTGAGTTAATATGTTAGATCTTTTGGGTTACTGTACTTTTCAGGTGACAGCACTTGACAAAGCAGTGACCACTATAATTTATTATTGTTCTATTACATTTCAAATGACAAATGATTTTCCTTTTGAAATTTTTACAGTCGACAAAAACTCTTGTTTTACATCTATACATAATTATGGTTCAGTGATATTGTGAAATCTTAATTTTGGTTCATTTTGCGAGTGACGGCACTTGCCAGATCTTGAAGCCTAACCGTGTAGCATGAAAGTTTTGTGGGAGTTTTATTTTGCGGATTGGCGATTTTTTGTGGTTTGCGGGAACAAGTTTTTGCGGTTCGAGATGACTGAAATTTCTGGTGGGAACTAATTTTTGCGATTCTCTGTTCAAGTAGCAGAATATTTAAGTGGAAGAAGCCTTAATATGGTATTTTCAACTTTTATTTTACGGTATGTTGAGTCAAAGTTCACTCTACACTCTT